TTATTACAGTCGGAATTATTTATAACCATACCGTTTATAGCTACCTATTGGATATAACGACTGTATCGAAAGTCCCGAGCAAAGATCTGGCTCTTATTTGACATCGACCAATCTCATTATAAGCGATTTTGACTGTACATGACTATTTATTACAAGAAGTGTTGATTTAAAACATGACTATATAATAGCCACTTTTTAAAATAACCCTAATTTTTTTTTAAATTGTTAAGCCGATTTTCAAACAGGGTTCTCCATTGAGTATAATCAAAATTACTTTACACAATAAAAATTAAATTAATTAAACAATAAAAAATCTAAAATATATCCTAAGATGTACTATGTTAAATTGGTACCCTATTTTGAATATTTTAGGTACTCTTTATGATGCAGTTAAAAAAAATCCTTTACATGACTTTAACATTTATTCCAGAGAACTTTATAATTTTTTTTAGTTGTTATTGTTGTTGACCTTTAACAACATTTCGATGTCATCAGCCTTTTTATATTTCTCAAGGCTCAAAACCTGTAAACAGACAGGAACATGTTCTGTTTTATTTATGTTTCACTTCCAGTTAGTGTCGTTGTAATTTACAACTGACTTTGCGAGTACAAACAAACAAAACATGATGTTATCTAGAAGGGTAACAAGTACGACAAATCAAGAAGAAGAAAAATGAAACAAGCTGGATATTAGGGTGAGAGCCACAATGGACATTTAGGTAGTGACTCTCGAAAAGAATGTTGGAGAAACAGGAAGTAAAAATGTTATCAATGACAATAAATATCAATAACTAGACATTGGGGTGGGACGATTCTCATGAATAATGTTGTTAAATGTTCGATAAAAATCTAAATTTTTCAATAATATTTAATTTCAGTAAAGAGAACGTATACGTTATGTCAGCGCTAATACGAACCAAGGTACGATTTACGAAGTTTGCAGAAATGTTATCCATGACAACAAATATCAATATCATGGCATTAGGGTAGATCGATTTTGAGGACAAATATTGTTACATTTTCAATCAAATTCAATTTTTTCAATAATATTTAATTTCAGTAATGTTAGCGTATACGTTATGTCAGCACTAATACGTACCCAGGTACTATTTACGAAGTTTGCAGAAATGTTATCCATGACAACAAATATCAATATCATGGCATTAGGGTAGATCGATTTTTAGGACAAATATTGTTAAATTTTCAATCAAATTAAATTTTTTCAATAATATTTAATTTCACTAATGTTAGCGTATACGTTATGTCAGCACTAATACGTACCCAGGTACGACTTACGGTTTAAACTTAGACAAAATATTTGTCGTATAGCAAAAAAATCCCAATAAGTTAAAATCTATATTAAATTTGTCATTCCGTAACCCGCAATATTACTACCAATTTTAATTTTGCACCGTACGACCTTCTCATAAATTATATATATATATATATATATATATATTCTTGATCAGAATAAAATTCTATGTCGATTTACGCATCGATTTACGTCTATCTGTCGAAATCACTATAGAGATCGCAATCTTTAAGATAGAGCTATGAAACCTGGCCAGACATTGCTAGCACTCCTAGGATTTTTGGTATTGCAAATGGGATATATCGGTCCACGTTTTGGTATAGTCCCCATTTAAAGTTACCCCCCAATATTCGGTATTTTGGTGGTTTTAGACTCGTTTTTCAACGGCTGTAATTTACTATTTTGGGTGCAGATTTTGTAGCACATCTCCATACCAAAAATTATTAATATTGACAGGCCCCATATAACCGTACACCTTATTATTCGACATTGCGGGGATTTTGGACACGTTTTTCAACCGAATTGGCTGTAATTTGATATTTTGGATTCTCATTGACCAACGTTTCAGGGTATTGTGGGGATTTTGGGCACGTTTTTCACTCGGATTGCCTGTAATTTGTATAGCCTTTGACATAGCCTTTATATAAAGGTTCCGCACCATTTTCATTTTATTTTTGTATCGATGTTTTTATAATTAGGCATATCGGGGTTTGAGCAAATAAAATTGATCTCTGTAAAAATTGTTCATAGAGGTCAATGTTGTGACTTAATAAAAACCTCCTCGATTTTTTGAAAATATGCCTAGGATAATGAAATACGTAAAATGAGGCAGAACTATCTTTAGCGGGGTATGTCAAAGGATTATTTTTAAAATATTTTATACCAGAAGGTTTTTTATACTTTAAGAAAACCTTATAATAATATAGCAAATTCAGTTCAAAATGAGGTTAGGGTCTTTAAAATACTCTATAGGTTTATAAGCGAGCAAAAAAAGACGTTTGCTCCCTTATAAAACTCTCTTAACTGAATTGGCAATATTATCATTCCATTTTTTTATATCCCTGGTATAAAAATATTTTTTAAAGTAAACCTTTGACATAGTCCCCATATAAATGTCCAAAATTATCCTAGGTGCATTATCCAAAGAATTCGGGTTGATCCTGTCGTTAAAGAGGTATTGAATGTTCCAGCCTCTCATTTAGGTTTCTAGGAGAATAATAAAAACTCATAGCAGATTTTTTAAAGTAGGCCCATGTTCTGACCTAGACATAAAAAACTCTGACGTTAGATACTTTTTCCAGATTTGTTATATTCCAAAAATACTTGTAAGTAAGATATTTGAGTGAGATTCCTCCAGTAAAAATTTGTTAAGTCTTTCGTCGACACACACAATTAGTCTTTATAAAATGATACCAGGCCAAAAAATGATCAACAGGATTTCAAAACCTCTAATGCTTCAATAAAAGATAAAACATCGGGTTTCTTTTCATTAATTTATGTACTAATTAAAAGACCAATCAAAATACCAATCATAATACCTCATAAATTTTGAATTTTCTTTTTAAGGTCAAATTATATTTATGTTCACTTCTGTGATGAATAAATATAAACGCATATAATTATGGGAAATGTCCAATACTTCGAATTAATAATTACTTTTATTATTTACCTATTGTTTTAGGTTTTTTAAGAAAAGTCAATTTTCCAGATCATTAACTTTTTTAAAAACATCAATATTACTACTGTTTAAAATTCAGCTCACATTAAAAAGGTCCTTATTTTTTTATTTCATTCTTCTCTCCCCAACACCCAATTCCCTTTCTCCTGCTAAATAAGCAGTACTTACTTTAATTAAATTACAAAGAAATCATTCAATACACATCATTCAAATTTGAAAGAATACTTTATTGTATTTTCCTTTTAAATACTGTCTATAATAAGTGTCTAGACCATGAATCAACAACAACGACAACTGACACAAATTTTGCCGTTCTCTCTTTTCCCTTCGCTAATAAATTCAACAAGTTTAATTGACTTCTAAAAACAATTAAATTGAAATAAGGCGCCATAAATAATGTAACATCATAAAATATGGAATTTTATGGCTCGTTTTTTTATTTTTTTTTTATTTAGCAAAACATTCTTATGATAGACAGTCAGTGTAGCACTCACACACACACACGTACATTTCTCCATACTCTCTGAAGGAAAAAAGTGACAAACCTTAATATTATGACTACTTAGATATGTATGAGCAAGTAAATCCTCATCATCGCACAATAAAATGAATATTTTATTAAACGAAGAAAACCAAACAAAACAAAAAATGCCTCAGAATTGCTGTTAAAATTTTCCTTTCGTTTAAAGCATTTAAACGGCAGCAACAACTTTTCTTTGGTAGTGTGGTTGTTGTTGGCCCGAATGTCTTTATTGTTGTCATCTACATTGTCGTTCATGGTTAATACAATTCGGGTCTTTAAGGCATGGCTGGCTTGGTCAGGCAGGCAATTGTTTTCTCGTACTGCTGCTGCTTCTGATGATGATTACCTTGGAAGTGTCCATAGGAAAAATTTCAGTCATTGTGGTGTGGCCGTCGTCATTGTTGTGTGAATGGCTGGTTGGCCATCTGTGTGTGTGTATGTGTGAATGCCATTGAATGTGGCATCACGTTTTTTGTTTGTTGTTGTGGTTGCTGGTAATTCTTGCCTCATATATTGGAAATGAAAGTTTATATTCCACGTACGTGTGTGTGTGGCCAGAGAGCAGCACTAAAATATACTTACTTGTGAACATGCCGTACATTCATTCATACATACATCCATATGTCAGAGTTAATGTTTTCTTATAGCTGTATGAATGTACTTTATAAGCAGTTAGTGTGGCTGTGTATGTGTGTGTATTTCTATCTGTTCGAGTATTCCATTGTTAACCCGTCGTCTTTCATATTTGGGCCAACAATTATGAACATATGAAAATATGTTTTTTCTGAAAAGAAAAAAAATAAATAAAAATATGTGAATGTTCTGCAACAACAAAAGGCACTCTCCCTTTCTAAGATTCTCTGTTTATGTGGGTTATAAAGATTTCTCCTTCTTAAGCAGATACCCTACAGCGAGGTGTGCAAAGTTGACGAGTCATAAAAAATATTATTATAGAAGAAGACGTTAATAATTATTACATTAGGAACATCTGTTCCTTATGAAAAAATGTCTGTTCTAGAAAAAATTTTATTTAAAAATCCTCTCCTTATATAGGCCTTTGAAAAATATCCTTTTTTAAATCCATGTCTTATATAGGCCTTGCAAAATAAATTTTTAAAAAAAATCCACGCCTTATATAGGCCTCCGAAAAATATTCTTTTATTAATCCACGCCTTATAGGTCGGAACATGGGCCTATGTAGATATTTTTTACTCACCAGGAAGCTTCAATTACAAATTACAGTATCTTCGGTTTGAAAGTGTGTGCTGATCCTCTATAGGCTATAAAAAATTCGTTATGACCGGTAAAACTGGCCTTGTTTCATGGGTCATAAAAGAAATATTAAAACTAAAATAGAAAGTAGTATTCATTTATTTTTTATAGCTAAGAAATAATATTGTCCTCCAATACCTCCACCCACCCTCAATAACAAACTTTTAACCTCTTCATCAATTAATTATATTTCTTTGTTTCCTTTCTCTTTTCAGATATGGTGCTGAATTAGTTGCCATCGATAATTATGCTGAAAATAACAACACCCTATCGATAGCCCGCCTCAATGATCCCAATCATCGGGCATCGGATAAGTACTGGCTCGGTTTAGCCTCCTTGGATGAGTTGCGTACCAATACCCTAGAATCAGCATCGGGAGCTTTAATTTCCCAATATTCTGGTTTCTGGTCATTGCATCAACCTAATCCCCAGTCGGGAGAATGTGTTGCCGCCACATTCACCTCTGTCATTCAATCCTGGAATTTGGGTACTTGTGAAAGTCTATTGCCCTTTATGTGTCGTGCCTCTGCCTGCCCCTTGAATTCCATTCACTGTGCCAATGGTAAATGTGTCAATCAAAGTTTCAAATGTGATGGTTCCGATGATTGTGGTGACGGTTCCGATGAATTGGATTGCCCAGCTCAATGTCATTATCACATGCAATCTGGTGGTGATGTTATTGAATCTCCTAATTATCCTCATAAATATGGTGCCTTATCGAAATGCAAATGGACTTTGGAGGGTCCTTTGGGTAGCAACATTATTTTGCAATTCCAAGACTTCGAAACTGAAAAGACCTTCGATACTGTACAAGTTTTGGTTGGTGGCCGTACTGAGGAGAAATCTGTATCTCTGGCCACTTTGAGCGGTAAACATGATTTGACCACCCAACCCTTGGTGTCGGCCTCGAATTTCATGATTGTCAAATTCACCTCGGATGGTAGTGTGGAACGTAAAGGTTTCCGTGCCACATGGAAAACGGAATCTAAAGTATGCGGTGGCACCTTGAAGGCAACTTTGCAGCGCCAAACCCTTACCAGTCCCAACTATCCCAAACAATACCCCGGTGGTTTGGAGTGCCTGTACATCATTAAGGCCCAACCTGGACGCATTATTTCCATTGAAGTTGATGATTTAGATATTGTTGATGGACGCGATTATATGCTAATACGTGATGGTGAATCTCCCATGAGCCGTCCCATTGCCAAGTTGACCGGCAAGACAGCCAATAATGAAAAGGTCATTATCTCCACCGGAAATGCTTTGTATTTGTATTTCAAATCGAGTTTGGGAGATTCTGGCAAGGGTTTCAGTTTACGTTATATTCAAGGTTGCAAGGCCACCATTACCGCCCGTAATGGTACTGTCACATCGCCTGCCTTTGGTTTGGCTGATTATCCCAAAAATCAGGAATGTTATTTCACCATTCGCAACAGTATGGGTTCACCGTTGTCTTTGAAATTCGTTAAATTCATGGTCCACAAGAGTGATAATGTTCAGGTCTACGATGGATCTTCAACATCGGGATTGCGTTTGCATTCGGGAGATGGTTTCACCGGTACCGCTGTGCCCAAATTGACTTTGACTGCTTCTTCAGGAGAAATGTTGATTAAATTCACTTCGGATGCTTTGCATAATGCTGCTGGGTAAGTTGGGAAACAATTTTTTTTTTCAATGGCCATAGATAATTTATCTAATCACAAAATTTATCTATAATTTAAAAAAAAGGAAAAAATAAATTATTAATCAGTCTAGATAACGTTTTACCATTTTAGATAAATTATCTAATAATTGGATAACTTATCCAAGGGCCTAGATAACCTGTTAAAACTTCTAGATAAATATAACATTGAAACTAACCCTTCTTTTACCTTCTTCCCTTACAGATGGTCCGCCACATTCTCTGCTGATTGTCCTGAATTGCAACCTGGCATTGGTGCCTTGGCTTCCAGCCGTGATACTGCCTTTGGAACTGTTGTAACCTTCACCTGTCCCATTGGCCAGGAATTTGCCACCGGTAAAAGTAAAATTGTAACTGAATGTTTGAAGGGTGGTAACTGGAGTGTATCCTATATTCCCAAATGTCAAGGTAAGATACTTAAATAACCTCCATTCGTTGTGAAACCGATTTAATTAATTAATCTCTTTTCATTCACAGAGGTCTATTGCGGTCCAGTACCCCAAATCGATAACGGTTTCTCCATTGGCTCATCGAATGTCACTTATCGTGGAGTGGCCATGTATCAATGTTATGCCGGTTTCACTTTCAGTTCCGGTCTACCCATTGAGAAAATATCCTGCTTACCCGACGGCCGTTGGGAACGTAAACCCACTTGTATGGCTTCGCAATGTGCCCCTCTGCCTGAGGTGCCTCATGCCAATATTACCCTATTGAATGGTGGTGGCCGCAGCTATGGCACCATTGTCCAATATGAATGTGAACCTGGTTATGAACGCACTGGACACCCCGTACTCACCTGTATGTCCAATGGCACCTGGAGTGGTGAAGTACCACGCTGCTCACGCAAACGTTGTTATGAATTCCCCAAAATTGAAAATGGCTTCGTCGTGGATTCTGATCGTGCTTATTACTATTCGGATGATGCTCGTGTTCAATGCTTCAAGGGTTATAAGTTGATTGGTAGCAACATTATTCGCTGCAACAGTGACCAGATCTTCGAAAATCCTCCCACCTGTGAAGATATTAACGAATGTACTTCCACACAGTGTGATTTGGCCACAACGGAATGTGTAAATACCGCTGGCTCCTTCCATTGTCAATGTCGTGCTGGTTTTACAGCCACCTCTGAATGTCGCCCTGTTGGTGATTTGGGTCTCAGCAATGGTGGTATTCCAGATGAAAGTATTACCACTTCGGCCAGTGAAGAAGGTTTCTCTAAGGGTATGGTCCGCCTGACATCTGGTGGTTGGTGTGGTGCCTCTGCTGAACCCGGAGCCAACTGGATTTTGATTGACTTGAAGGCTCCCACCATTTTGAGAGGTTTCCGTACCATGTCTGTACAACGCTTTGATGGCAACATTGCCTTTACCTCGGCCGTTAGATTGCAATACACCGATGACCTTACCGATGTCTTCAAGGATTACACCAACCCTGATGGTACCGCTGTAGAATTCAGAATCTTGGAACCCACTCTATCCATTTTAAATTTGCCAATGCCCATTGAGGCCCGCTATGTTCGTTTCCGCATTCAAGATTATGTTGGTGCTCCATGTATTCGTTTTGAGGCCATGGGTTGCACACGCTTGGATTGTGTTGACATCAATGAATGTGCCAAGAATAATGGAGGTTGTGATCAGAAGTGTGTCAACTCACCTGGAAGCTATTCTTGCTCTTGTAACACTGGCTACCAATTGTATACCGCCAATGGTACCGCTGGCTATTATGTGGAGAAAACTGAAACCGGAGAACGTGATGGTGACACCTATCAACGCAACAAGACCTGTGTTCCTTTGATGTGCCCAACCTTGGAAGAACCTGAAAATGGAAAATTGCTGACCGACAAAGACACCCATCACTTTGGTGATATTGTCCACTTCCAATGTAACTTTGGTTATATTATGTCTGGTAGCTCTTCGCTACTGTGTTTGTCAAGTGGTCAATGGAATGGTACCGTTCCAGAATGTAATTGTAAGTAGACCAAAATAAAAACATAAAATATATATTTAACCCTAACTAACCTTCTTATAATTTGACAGATGCCAAATGTGTTTCCTTGCCCGATGACAAAATGGAAGGCCTTTCAGTTTTGAGACCTGATCCCGAATCTGTTTTGGTACCATTCCGTGAGAATGTTTCCATTACTTGCAATGCTCCAGGACGTCAGTTGCGCTCAACCGCCTCCTCTGGCTTCCGTCAATGTGTGTACGATCCCAAACCTGGTCTACCCGATTACTGGTTGTCCGGTTCTCAACCATCCTGCCCTCGTGTTGATTGTTACGAACCCATGCCTACCCCCGGAGCTGAATATGGCCAATATGTCGATACCCGTTATCAAAGCAATTTCTTCTTTGGTTGTCAAAACACCTTCAAATTGGCCGGTCAAACTTCTCATCACGATAATGTGGTCCGTTGTCAAGCTGATGGTATTTGGGACTTTGGTGATTTGCGTTGTGAAGGTCCAGTTTGTGATGATCCAGGACGTCCAAGTGATGGTCGTCAAATTGCCAAGAGTTATGAACAAGGTTCCGAAGTATACTTCGGCTGCAATCGCCCTGGTTATATCCTCATCAATCCTCGTCCCATTACCTGTATTCGTGAACCTGAATGTAAGGTTATCAAGCCATTGGGTCTTACCTCTGGCAAGATTCCTGATTCTGCCATTAATGCCACCTCGGAAAGACCTAACTATGAAGCCAAGAATATCCGTTTGAATTCCGCCACCGGTTGGTGTGGTAAACAGGAAGCCTTCACCTATGTCAGTGTCGATTTGGGTCAAATCTATCGCGTCAAGGCCATCCTTGTTAAGGGTGTTGTTACCAATGACATTGTGGGACGTCCTACTGAAATCCGATTCTTCTACAAACAAGCCGAAAACGAAAATTACGTAGTCTATTTCCCCAACTTCAATTTGACCATGAGAGACCCTGGTAACTATGGTGAATTGGCCATGATCACCTTGCCAAAATATGTCCAAGCCCGTTTCGTAATCTTGGGTATTGTCAGCTATATGGATAATGCCTGTTTGAAATTCGAATTGATGGGTTGTGAAGAACCCAAAAAGGAACCATTGCTAGGTTATGATTACGGCTACTCCCCATGTGTGGACAATGAACCACCCATTTTCCAAAATTGTCCTCAACAACCTATCATTGTGAAACGTGATGAATTTGGTGCCATCTTACCGGTTAACTTTACCGAACCCACAGCTGTGGACAACTCGGGTTCCATTGCCCGTTTGGAAGTGAAACCCCAGAACTTCAAGACCCCCTCGTTCATCTTCCGTGATACTGTTGTGAAATATGTTGCCTTCGATTATGATGGTAATGTGGCCATTTGTGAAATCAATATCACCGTTCCAGATGTTACTCCACCACTGCTACAATGTCCTCAAAGTTATGTTATTGAATTGGCCGAACGTCAAGAACGTTACAATGTTAACTTCAACGATACCCGCAATCGCATCAAGACCTCTGATGAATCTGGAGAAGTACGTCTATCATTCAGCCCTGAAAGTGCCGTTATTCCAATTAGAGGATTTGAAAATGTCACTGTCACTGCCACCGATAAATATGGCAACAAGGCCTATTGTAACTACCAGGTTTCAGTGCAAGCTTCACCTTGTGTAGATTGGGAATTGCAACCACCAGCCAATGGAGCCATCAACTGTTTGCCTGGAGATCGTGGTATTGAATGTATTGCCACCTGTAAACCAGGATTCCGTTTCACTGATGGCGAACCCATTAAGAGCTTCTCCTGTGAAACCTCAAGACTGTGGAAACCCACATCCGTTGTACCCGATTGTGTTTCAGAGAACACCGAACAAGCTGATTACCAAGTTACCGCCACCATTACCTATCGTGCCAATGGTGCTGTCGCCCAATCCTGCTTGAGCAAATACCAAGACGCTTTGGCCCAAAACTATGCTGGCCTTAATCAGTTGCTATCCCAGCGTTGTTCCGCCGTCAATGTCAATATGAATGTTACCTTCTTGAAATCGATACCAAGTTTGAAGGAAGAGAATGTTGTAAAAATGGACTTCATTTTGTCAATTTTGCCAGCCATCAGACAACCTCAATTGTATGAGCTTTGCGGTTCCACCATGAATTTGATCTTCGATTTGAGTGTACCCTATGCCAGTGCTGTTATTGATTCTCTGCTGAATATCTCCAATATCGGAAACCAATGTCCTCCACTCCGTGCCTTGAACAGCAACATTTCTCGTGGTTTCACTTGCAGTGTTGGTGAAGTTTTGAATATGGATACCAGTGATGTGCCACGTTGTTTGCACTGTCCAGCTGGTACTTATGTGGCCACCGGACAAAATGTCTGTACCAATTGCCCACGTGGTTACTATCAGAATCGTGATCGTCAAGGTACTTGCATGCGTTGCCCTGCTGGCACCTACACTAAGGAAGAAGGTTCCAAGTCGTTGAATGATTGTATCCCAGTGTGCGGTTATGGTACCTACTCACCAACTGGTTTGGTGCCATGTTTGGAATGTCCACGTAACTCCTTCACCAGTGATCCACCAACTGGAGGTTTCAAGGATTGCCAGGCTTGTCCTCAGAACACATTCACCTTCCAACCAGCTGCCTCGACCAAGAGTTTGTGTCGTCAGAAGTGTCCACCTGGTACATACTCTACCACTGGATTGGCCCCATGCTCTCCATGTCCAATGAACTTCTACCAAAGCGCTATTGGAGCCCAAACCTGCAATGAATGTCCCACAAATATGCGTACTGATGCTCCTGGAGCCAAGGGCCGTGAGGAATGTAAACCCGTTGTGTGTGGTGAAGGTGCCTGTCAACATGGTGGCCTTTGCGTACCCATGGGCCATGGTATTCAATGTTTCTGTCCCGCCGGATTCTCTGGTAAACGTTGTGAAATCGATATCGACGAGTGTGCCTCCCAACCCTGTTACAATGGTGGCTCCTGTGTAGATCAACCTCAAGGTTATCGCTGTGAATGTCCTCCTGGTTATTCGGGCATCAATTGTCAAGAAGAGGCCAGCGACTGTCGTGAAGACACCTGCCCCACTCGTGCTATGTGCAAGAACGAACCTGGTTACAAGAACTTCACCTGTCTCTGCCGCAGTGGTTATACTGGAGAAAACTGTGATGTCACCATCGATCCTTGTACCGCCAATGGCAATCCTTGCTCGAACGGAGCCAGCTGCAGAGCCCTGCAACAGGGACGTTACAAGTGCGAATGTCTACCCGGATGGGAAGGATTCCATTGTGAAGCTAACATCAATGATTGTGCTGAAAATCCTTGCCTGTTGGGTGCTAACTGTACCGATTTGGTCAACGACTTCCAGTGCTCCTGCCCACCAGGTTTCACCGGTAAGCGTTGTGAAGAAAAGATCGATCTCTGCCTTTCGGAACCCTGTAAACACGGTACTTGCGTTGATCGCCTCTTCGACCATGAGTGTGTCTGCCATCCCGGATGGACTGGTCCAGCTTGTGATGTGAATATTGATGACTGTGAAGATCGTCCATGCGCCAATGATGGTGTCTGCATTGATTTGGTGAATGGCTACAGCTGTAACTGTGAACCAGGATACACCGGCAAGAATTGTCAACATACCATTGATGACTGTGAATCCAATCCATGCCAGAATGGTGCCACCTGTGTTGACCAATTGGATGGCTTCATTTGTAAATGTCGCCCAGGTTTTGTGGGTCTAAATTGTGAAGCTGAAATCGATGAGTGCCTCAGTGATCCTTGCAATCCTGTCGGCACAGAACGTTGCTTGGATTTGGACAATAAATTCAAGTGTGCCTGCCGCGATGGCTTCACTGGTGAATTGTGTGAAACTGATATCGATGACTGTGAAAGCAACCCCTGCTTGAATGATGGCAAATGTACCGATCGTGTTGGAGGTTTCGACTGTGAATGTGAAAAGGGTTGGAGTGGTTTGCACTGCGAACATCAAATCACCACCTGTGATACCCAATCACCATGCCAGAATGATGCCACATGTATTGATTTGTTCCAAGACTACTTCTGTGTGTGCCCCTCGGGTACAGATGGCAAGAATTGTGAAACTGCTCCCGAACGTTGTATCGGCAATCCTTGTATGCATGGCGGTAAATGTCAAGATTTCGGTTCTGGATTGAACTGTACCTGCCCAATGGATTACTCGGGTATTGGTTGTCAATACGAATTCGATGCCTGCGAGGCTCATCTCTGCCAGAATGGTGCAACATGTATTGATGTCGGTGAGGGCTACACTTGTGTCTGCCCTCAAGGTTTTACTGGCAAGAACTGCGAAGAAGATATCGTTGACTGCAAGGATAACTCCTGTCCTCCTGGTGCCACTTGCATTGATTTGACCAATGGTTTCTATTGTCAATGTCCCTTCAATATGACCGGTGATGATTGCCGTAAGACCATCCAAGTTGATTACGATCTCTACTTCAGCGATGCCACCAGGTCCACAGCTGCCCAGGTGGTGCCATTCTATACTGGTGAAGCTACCAGCTTGACAATTGCCATGTGGGTTCAATTCGCCCAAAAGGATGATACTGGAATCTTCTTCACCCTATACAGTGTGGAATCATTGAATATGGCCAGCAATAGACGTTTGATGTTGCAAGCCCACTCAAGTGGTGTACAAGTTTCCCTGTTCGCCGACTATCAAGATGTTTTCCTGTCATTCGGGGAATATACCTCCGTCAATGATGGCCAATGGCATCATGTTGCCATTGTTTGGGATGGTATGTCTGGTCAATTGCAATTGATTACCGAAGGTTTGATTGCCAGCAAGATTGAATATGCCCAAGGACGTACCTTGCCACCATACTTGTGGTCTGTGTTGGGCCGTCCACAACCTGATGATTCTAAATACGCCTTGTCATACTCGGAGACTGGCTTCCAAGGTACCATGACAAAGGTTCAAGTATGGGCCAGAGCTTTAGATACCACATCGGAAATCCAGAAACAAGTACGTGATTGCCGTTCGGAACCTGTTCTCTATAATGGTTTGATTTTGAATTGGTCTGGTTATGAGATCACTGTGGGTGGTGTTGAACGTAATGTGCCTTCGATGTGTGGACAACGTAGATGTCCAAATGGTTACACTGGACCAAATTGCCAACAATTGGAAGTCGATAAGGAACCACCAGTTGTGGAACATTGCCCTGGAGATTTGTGGGTTATTGCCAAGAATGGTTCGGCTGTGGTGACATGGGATGAACCTCACTTTAGCGATAATATTGGTGTTACCAAGATTGTGGAACGTAATGGACATCGTCCTGGTACCACATTGCTATGGGGCTCATATGATATTACCTATATTGCCTCGGATGCTGCTGGTAATACAGCCACCTGTAGTTTCAAGGTTTCGTTGTTGAGTGAGTATTTTTTTGGAAGAGGAAAGTGGGGGAGAATATATTTTAATTGATGTTTGTTTTTTAGCTGACTTCTGTCCTCCCTTGGCTGATCCTGTTGGTGGTGTCCAAGTCTGCAAGGATTGGGGTACTGGAGGTCAATTCAAGGTTTGTGAAATTTCTTGCAATCCTGGTTTGAGGTTCTCTGAGGAAGTACCTGAATTCTATACTTGCGGTGCTGAAGGTTTCTGGCGTCCAACACCAGATCCTTCCATGCCTTTGGTATATCCTGCTTGTTCACGTAAGTGTTTGATTGTTCTATGCCAATATATCCGATCTTTATAAAATTGTATTGGTTTTTTTTTCTTTTAATAGCTTCCAAGTTGGCCCAACGTGTATTCCGCATTAAAATGCTCTTCCCCTCGGATGTTTTGTGCAACAAGGCCGGTCAAGGTGTGTTACGTCAAAAGGTCACCAGCTCTGTCAATTCTCTTAATCGTGATTGGAACTTCTGCTCTTACTCGGTTGAGGGTTCACGCGAATGTAAGGATATCCAAATCGATGTTAAATGTGATCACTACCGCGGCACTCAAAGCAATCGTGTGCGCCGTCAGGCTAAGGACGGTGGTGTTTATGTCTTGGAAGCTGAAATACCAGTACTCAAGTAAGTAGAATAGATTTAAGGTACCATCGTATAGGAGATTCTTGTGTACAAATATGTGTGTGCCTTGGTTATGTTTTGTATTTTTTTATTTTTGTGTAAGCATGTATGTGTTTATTTCAATATATGTGTCATTCAACATTATAGCGATGAAGAAGATCCAGATCCCAGAGCACGTCAAGGACGCCAACAAACTGGCGGTGACACATACACGCTGGAAATTTCTTTCCCGGCAGTGAAGTATGTTTTTGTTTTGCCAAAAAATAAATAAAACGCTTTACCAAGTTCTTTACGCTGCTGCTTTTTAGAAATTCTGCAAAAAAAAACCCTTGACATTTTTGTGACATTCTCAGACATTGTGGTTGTGGTTTTGGAAGGGTGGTTGTGGTTATCCATGTGTCCATGTCATTAACAAAAACCAAATTCGAAAATAAAATTCTTAATTCTTTAGAGTGCCTAACAACCAAATGCTTTGCTTAAGTTATGACAACTATTTTTGTATGAGGTGCTAATTTTTATTCTCTCTTTACCCCCATCTAGTGATCCGGTAGTTCATACCTCTACTGGCGAACGTTCCACTGTCAAGGCCCTATTGGAAAAACTTATTTTGGAAGATGATCAATTTGCCGTACAAGACATATTACCCAATACCGTACCCGATCCAGCCTCTTTGGAATTGGGCTCTGAATATGCTTGCCCTGTGGGTCAAGTGGTAATGATTCCCGACTGTGTACCCTGTGCCATTGGTACCTTCTATGATACCCGCAACAATACTTGTGTCCCCTGTGAACGTGGTACCTATCAATCTGAAGCTGGTCAATTGCAATGCAGCAAATGCCCTATCATTGCTGGACGTCCTGGTGTTACTGCTGGCCCTGGAGCCCGTTCTGCAGCCAGTTGTAAGGAACGTTGTCCTGCTGGCAAATACTTTGATTCCGAAACTGGTTTGTGCAGATCTTGCGGCCATGGCTTCTTCCAACCCAATGAGGGTTCATTCAGCTGTGAATTGTGCGGTTTGGGTCAAACAACACGCTCTGCTGAGGCCACCTCACGCAAGGAATGTCGCGATGAATGCTCTTCCGGCCAACAATTGGGTGTCGATGGTCGTTGTGAACCCTGCCCACGTGGTACATTCCGTGCCCAAGGTGTCCAGCCTTCGTGTGCTGCTTGTCCATTGGGTCGCACCACACCTAAAGTTGGTGCCAAATCCGTTGAAGAATGTACCCTGCCCGTATGCTCTCCCGGTACTTATCTCAACACAACCATTAACATGTGTGAAGAATGCCGCAAGGGTTACTATCAACCTGAGACACAACAAACATCCTGCATACAGTGTCCACCCAATCACAGCACAAAGATTACCGGAGCTACCTCAAAATCTGAATGTACCAATCCCTGTGAACAAGTGGCTGAAGGACGTCCCCATTGTGATCCCAATGCTTATTGTATCTTGGTTCCTGAAACCTCAGACTTCAAGTGTGAATGTAAACCCGGTTTCAATGGTACCGGTATGGAGTGTACTGATGTGTGTGATGGTTTCTGTGAAAATCAAGGCAACTGCGTTAAGGATCTCAAGGGTACACCATCGTGTCGCTGTGTTGGCTCCTTCACTGGACCCCATTGTGCTGAACGTTCGGAGTTTGCCTATATTGCTGGCGGTATTGCCGGTGCTGTGATCTTTATTATAGTCATAGTTCTATTGATTTGGATGATTTGTGTACGTTCGACAAAGCGACGTGACCCCAAGAAGATGTTATCGCCGGCCATCGATCAAACCGGTTCTCAGGTGAACTTCTATTATGGTGCTCATACACCATATGCTGAGTCGATAGCACCATCACATCACAGTACATATGCCCATTATTACGATGATGAGGAGGATGGTTGGGAAATGCCAAATTTCTATAATGAAACATATATGAAGGATGGTGAGTTGACGAGTAGATGGTCAATTTTTTGTAGATTTTGTTTTCTTTTTTTAAATATATATTTGTTGTTTTTTTAATTTTAAATATGAACCCCCTTCCCAGTAAGAATTGCTAATTGATTTAATCACAGATGTTGTATATTCCACAGGTCTGCATGGAGGTGGCAAAATGAGCACATTGGCTAGATCGAATGCCTCGCTATATGGTACCAAGGATGATTTATATGATCGATTAAAACGACATGCCTATACTGGCAAAAAAGGTGGGTGGTATTAAAGTAAAATAATAACTATGGCGGTTTTAGGACAACATTTTTCAAATATTCCTCAGTTCACCTGAAGATTGTTTTTCTATAGAAGAAATTTCTTTGGTTCAACTGAGGACTATTTTCCTATTGAAAACAATTTCTTTACTTCAACATAGGACTATTTCCTGTAGAAAAAAATCCTCACAACAAATGGACACTATTTTTCTAATAACAAATCCAAATTGAGAACAGAAGGGAAAATCAAATCTAAATTGATTTCATTCCCGAAGAAATCCTCTCCTCTGGAATGAACTGATTTGATCTTCCTGTCATCCATTTTTGTATTTTTCAATTTATTAATAATTTATCATATTTTGTTTTTCATTACAGAAAAGAGTGATAGTGATAGCGAAGTCCAATAAATTCAATAGAACAAAAAACAACCACACACACAACTGCCAATTTTTTTTAGCAGCGTTAGTAGTAATAAAATCTCAAACAAACGAACAAAAATTACCAAGAATAAAAGCAGCTATCCAATTCAATCATCTATTAAATATTTATTACGAAACGCTCGACTAATGTAACATACTTGTATTTAAAAAAAAAATGCTCACAACTCTCTTAAAATGGGGCTTAAATGCTAGTCCTCCAAAAAAGGCTCAGGCACTTAAGTCACAACCAAAACACATTCACATTTCACACATATCTGCATCTGAGAGATACCACCATCACACTCTGACGAAACTAATTACGATGATAAAAAAGAAACATGACAACGTTGAAAGCTTTATATTGATTTGTTGTAATTTATATATATTATTTTATGTATAAAATATTCATTGGAAAATGTAAAATTTTTTTTATAATTATTTTTTTTTCGTTTAACCTACAAGAAAGAACACTCAAGTAAATTTTAGTAATTAACAAAAAAATCAGCAAATTACTCAGCTTAATGTAAAGCTTTTAAAAAGCTGCTTTAAAACGACAAGAAATTTCAAGAACCACAACAACAAAATATTATGACTAACGAATTGAAATGCAATATTTTTTATTACAAAAAAACAAAACAAATTTAACTATTAAATTAAATAATAAAACAAAAAGAATTGAATGGCACTGTTAAAAGTAATGTCATGCCATTCAATTTATGTTTATAAGAGTGCATGTGCTTCTAGTTCGTATTTGTTAATTCATAGGTATTTTTATTTTATTATTATTTTCATATTTTTTTTTTAATTTTGTAATTTAATTTAAAACAAAAAACTCTGTCCCCTTATCCGTATTATTTTTTTATAATTTTACTATCCCCTATTTACCCCCTACTTCCTGCGATCTTCCAGTTAATATCATTTTATTTGTAGTACTCAACTCAATACGCAACATTTCCTTCCGTTTATTTATTTTTCCAAACAAACACACATACAAAAAAATGAAACGGCAATGGAATTTGTTAATATCTGAGTTTGTGTTTTTTATATAATTTATATATATATATACGTTTATTGTACCATAACTCAAAAGAAAAAAACACATTTAGGTTTATAAAGATTGTTTTTATAAATTAATACGATAATTATCAAACAAAAACAAAAAACATTAATTTTTAAAAAGATGTAATTGTATTTTTGTGAATACAATATAAAAAAATAAAAACAAACAAAAATTTATTATTAAATAAAAAAACAAATTGTGTGTGTTTTTTTAGATGACAGCTTTAAAATAGGATAATAATAATTATTGAGCCTTCTCAATAGGACTATTTTTCCTTATATAAAAAATGCTCAGTTGAAAATGTTGACATCCAATCTTTGGACTTGATCTAGGCAATCCATTCATTCCATCTTTGGACTTGATCTAGGGTTGGTAAAAATATTAGGTGGTGGAACGTTTGAGTCAAATCAGGAATTTCATTCGCTTAATATTGGATTTACAATCATTAAAAAAATTGGTCATTTCTGGCGGAGGTACTAAAGGGAGTGGATTGATAAATCCCTTCTTACAACATTATACTGGCATGACCAAAGTATTAGGATATGCAATGTTTGGTTGAAATCAGATAGTCCGTTCGCATGATATTCCAAAACTATTCGTTATTAAAATGTTGACCATTTTGTGTGGGAAGTACTAGAAGGTGTGGACCTATATTCCCCATCCTCGAACTTTATATAAGTTTGGATGAAAAATTTACATGCACAAAATTTGGTTGAAATCGGTTACTGCCTTTGAGAGTTATGGTGTGCACCAGCCAGACAGACACACAAACAGACGCGCATTTGTAAATCGACTCCAAATTGTCTGAAACGGATTTGGCACAAAGAAACATGCGTTCTAAAACCAACATTTCCGTAGCAAAGTGTGTATACGACCTCCTTTAGCCATAAGGCTGAGTTTATAAAAACGTCATTTATGTGCCAAACCATGGGTTTTTCTACTGATCTATTAGTTATGTGGCATACAGAACATGCTGTTCTAATCGACTATACTCTGTTTGTCCACACTTAACCAAAAAATAGTCGATATTTTAAATATCTTGGAACTTTCATATAATGCTAATTTTCTCCTACATAACATTCTTATATCAATATGTAATAAAACTTTACATTTCCCTCTAACCATTGGTGCATGATTTATGAAAATCGGTTACGTATTCACTGAGTTATTTGCATTTGAATTCAACCATCATCCTAATTATACCAACTATTCGGTTCTGTTCGCCTATTACCTGAAAATGAAAAACCACACAAAAATCCAATTTCTAAAGAAGGCAAGTTTTCGTAGTGGCTGCTGGTGTTGTAGAGAGAAACATGTAGCATACTTTCAGGCCAAAAAATTTCTGTTTGTAGTCTAATTTCTAAATTGATAGGCGATTGTTTTTATGCACAAAATTAAATTTTTTATAGATTTTTTTCTATAGAAAAAAATCCTCAGTTCATCTGAAGACTATTTTTCTATAGAAAAATTTCCTCAAATCCTCTGAGGACTATTTTTCTGAAAAAAAAGTTCCGCAGATTACTGTTGTTCTATAGAAACAATTTCTCAGTTCCTCCCAGGGCTACTTTTCTGTAGAAAAAAATCCCTAAGTTCCTTCGAGGACTATTTTTCTATAAAAAAAATTCCTCAGTTCCTCTGAGGACTTTTTTTCTATAGAAAAAATTCCTCAGTTCCTCTGAGGATTTTTTTTTCTATAGAAAAAATTCCTCAGTTCCTCTGAGGATTTTTTTCTATAGAAAAAATTCCTCAGTTCCTCTGAGGACTATTTTTCTATAAAAAAATCCTCATTTCCGCAATCCTCATAACTTTGTTCCTCTGAGGACTATTCCTAAGTTCCTCCGAGGACTATTTTTCTATAGAAAAAAAATCCTCAGTTCCTCTAAGGACTATTTTCCTATAGAAAAAATTCCTCAGTTCCTCTGAGGACTATTTTTCTATAGATAAAATTCCTCAATTATTCCTATGAGGACAATTTTTTTCCATAAAAAAATAGTCCTCAGGGGAACTAAGGAAATTTTTCTATAGAAAACAATCTATAAAAATCCACGTCTATGTTGGCGTTTGAAAAAATATTCTTTAAAAAATCCACACCTACTGTGTTACATTAAATTTGTGCATAAAAACAATCGCCTATCAATTTAGAAATCAGACTACACACAGAAATTTTTTTTGGCCTGAAAGTATGCTACATGTTTCTCTATAACACCAGCAGCCACTACGAAAACTTGCCTTCTTTAGAAACTGGATTTTTGTGTGGTTTTTCATTTTCAGGTAATAGGCGAACAGCACCGAATAGTAGGTATAATTAGGATGTTGGTTGAATTCAAATGCAAATAACTCAGCGAATACTTAACCGATTTTCATAAATCGTGCACCAATGGTTAGGGGGAAATGTTAAGTTTTATTACATGTTGATAATATACATATATATGAATGTTATGTAGGAGAAAATTGGCATTATATGAAAGTTCCAAGATATTTAAAATATCGACAATTTTTTGGTTAAATGTGAACAAAAAAAGTATAGTCGATTAGAACAGCCTGTGCTGTATGCCACACAACTAATAGATCAGTAGAAAAGTCCGTGTTTTGACAAATAACTGACTTTTTTTATCTCATCAGCCTTATGGCTAAAGGGGGTCGTGTACACACATTGCTATGGCAAAAATGTTCCTCATCGAAATGTTGGTTTTGGAACGCATGTTTCTTTGCGCCAAATTCATTTCAAACTATTTGGAGTCGATTTACAAATTTCCGTTTGTTTGTCTGTCTGGCTGGTGCACACCGTAACTCTCAAAGGGAGTAACCGGTTTCAATCAAATTTTGTTCATGTAAATTTTTCTTCCAAACTTATATCATGTTGCAAGTTGGGGAATATAGGTCCACTCCTTCTGGTACTTCCCACACAAAGTGGTCAAAATATTGATGAAAATAATTTTGAATTATCATGCGAACGGAGTATCCGATTTGAACAAAACATTGCATAAGCTAATGCATTGATCATTCATATATAATGTTGTAAGAAGGGACTTATCGGTCCACAAGGGATTCAATTTGTTATTGATTACTCTGAGGAGACTATTTTTCCATAGAAAAAAATCCTCTGAGGACTATTTTTCAATAGAAAATAATTGCTCAGTTCATCTGAGGACTATTTTTCAATAGAAAAAAATTCCTATTTTTTTTCTATAGAAAAAAAATTCCTCCGCTCATCTGAGGACTGTTTTTCTATAGAAAAAATTCCTTAGTTCATCTGAGGACTGTTTTTCTATAGAAAAAAATTCCTCAGTTCCTGTGAGGACTATTTTTCTATAGAAAAAATTACTCAGTTCCTCTGAGGACTATTTTTCTATAGAAAAAAATCCTCAACTCCTCCTTAGACTATATTTCTATTAAAAATCCTTATTTCTTCTGAGGACTATTTTTCTATATAAAAAATTCCTCAGTTCCTCTGAGGACTATTTTTCTATAGAAAAAAATTCCTCAGTTTGTCTGAGGACTATTTTTCTATAGAAAAAAATTCCTCAGTTTGTCTGAGGACTATTTTTCCATAAGAAAAAATTCCTCAGTTCCTCTGAGGACTATTTTTCTATAGAAAAAAATTCCTTAGATCCTCTGAGGATTATTTGTCTACAGAAAAAATTCCTCAGTTCCTCTATACAGGAAAAGGAAAAGTTCCTCTGTACACCTAAGGAAATGTGGGATGATGGCATTTTAGATCAACTTTTTCTTCACAAAAATTCATTTTGGATCGATCAGCTTTTAATTACGTTCTGCGGTAACCTAGAATATGTTTTTATTATTAAGCCTCTCATTTGTATTTATTTATTAAACAAAGAAAACATTTATTTAAATAAAAACTAAATTAAAAAAAATAAAAACCAAGCTTTTTTATTTACAATGGGTTACATAAAAGTTTACACGTCCACCACATTTTTTCCCCAAAATTCACAAAAATACCAGGCGCCCAGAATCGAACAGTAGGTGTATGCCCAGAAAAAATTAAAGAAAAATCTGGGGCCTGAAAGTATGCGGTATTGCCAGATCAAAAAAATTAAAAAATTCGATGTGGCAATGCCATTTTTCCACCGAGTTTTGGTATGGCAATGCCATGCATCAAAATTCAGAGCATACTTTCAGGCGGCAAAAAATATTAATTTTTTTTCGGGTATACCCCTACTGCTGAATCCTGGGCGCCTGGTATTTTTGGGAAATTTGGTATATGGGAACGAAATTTTCTGGTTTTTGGAAAAATTGTTCGTTACGACAAATTAAAGCGGGTTCGACTAGTTTTTGTTATAGTATAGGGGTTTTTTAATAAGAAGTTTTATTGTGACATTCAAAGAACTGAACTGTTTTGAGATATGTTCTTCCTTAATTTTGTATTGGAAGAACATTGGAAAGAAACCCTTATACTTACCCTATCATTTTCAAAATCACACCCACCCAACCAAATAAAAACAAATTAGGTTTTTAGTTTTCAAAAGAAAAAAATTAATAAATCTCTTTATTTTGTTTTTTTGTTTATTTTGCACAATTGGTTTGGGTTGGTTTTTAAGACAATTTGACTAATTTTAAATTTAATTTAATATTCAATTTAGACTATTTTACAATATGCTTATTTCACTAATTTATTTGGTTAAAAGTCAAACTTGGAACAATATTTCATCCTCTTCATCGCCTTCGTCGTCTTCTTTACCTCCTTCCATTTCCTCTATTCAATCTTATAGACTATTGATAATCCCTAGCTTCATTTCATTTGTGTGGATTCGGCAAAAACACCAATAAATATTTGTGGAATATTTTTTTATGTTTCTTTGTTTGTTTTTATTTCTTTGTAATGATTTTCATAACTTCCATGCATTCGTTCTTCAAAAAATACTTAAAAAATTAAATATTTGGTTGTTTCTTTTAAAGCGATAAAGCGTTGATATTCAAAATTGAATTTTGTTGTGCAAATGAATAATGTGGGGGTTTTTTGATACATTAAGTGGGGTACATTTTTCTGGATTGGGCTTAAAAATGACACAATTCATAAAAAAAATAGTATCGATCATTTGAATAGGTGATCTTTATGATTTATTTGAGTTTTGGACTATATTTTGTGACACCATCCACAACTAGACCGCTGAAATTTGAATATAGGGCAAGTTTCAAAATTTATTGGTAGACTTTTGCGACATTGTCATTAATGGATAGTCCTGGAATATATAGTGGGATTATTATGTTAGAAAAATTTCAAAATGTATAGAGTGGACTTGGAAAATGTTTTAAACTTTATACTATGTTCTATTCCGATTGTTTCGATTTTCCCTTTATATTTTTTAAAGTTTTATTAGTTTTAGGGTACGGGAACTGAATATTAAATTTTGAATATGTCATTTTTATTTGTGGCTGTTAGCAAAAATGCAATCGACAATTTTTTTAAAATAATTATGCCATAAATATTAAAGTTTCCATTTAAAAATAAATAATTCAAATACCAAAACAAAAATGTTCTACTCTTCTAAATTTTTATAGCAAAACTAAATTAATTTCTTACAAATAATGACTTTTAAAACGAAACCATAATATTATTATATCCTACACCACAACCATACGGACTAATCATTATTGTAATTTTCTAATAAACGGATTTTATATCATCCCCACAGTGTATGCTGTAGGTAGTGGAATAGTTAAATCACCCACCTCCAGGGCTTCTGTCCCCGCGGACCACAACTAACTATGGGGGGTGTTTCCCTAAAACAAAGAAGAATTAAAGTTACGGTGCAGAGCCTAAATAACTCAGTATCGGCGGGTGTCGTTGATCTGCCCACGAGTCGTCATCCCGTCTTGTCTTGGCATCTGTAGTCGAATGTATAGCTACAAGCACTCAGCCTTCGGCAACACCAACTCGAAGTTGAGGAACCACAGGGGAAGAGCAATCTCGACCCAGCCTTCAGAGGCAGGAGGAGACTCAACTTCGAACTCTGAGTCTGATCGTGGTAATCAGACAAACATAACCGTCTTGGAGAGCCGGAAGAGCGAAGAGGCTGACAAAATGATAGAGGAGGTGTAAAGTAAAGATATCGCCAAACTCACAACCAGGAAGAATCAGTTGTCTGGGGCATCAGGGCGGAAGTTGGCCAGAATGAACCGGATGAACAAAAAGGGCGAGATACAGACAGAGGCTCAAAAGGATAAGCCTGACCTTCCCTCCACTTCTGCGGAAGCGGCGAAGAGGATAAGGTCTCCGGATGAGCAGGCGACTGTCAAATCTGCCAAAAAGAAAAAGAGCTTCTCATCGACCGATAATAAGAGGAAGCTGAGTCAAACCAGTGTCAAAGGAGACTACCATGAGAATCCACTGACGAGGGCAGACGAAGTTGGCTCTGTGTCGGAGTGCCGAGTCGGAATCTTCCATTTGTAAGGCCGGGAAATATTGTTCCTAGACCCAGCTTTACTCATACCGATCGTTATATAACGACTAACTGAGTCCATCTAGACATCTGTGTCCCTCCGTCTGTCCATTATAATTTTTAAACACGATACAAGCCATGTAGGTAGGATTGGTTCTGGCCAAAGAAGACTCCAATTGTTTTTTGTAATGATCGGTTAAAATTTTAAAACTTTATTTTTGTCTGTTTTTTTATTGTTGCTCTAGAGGCCACAATTATGATCCGGAAGTCAGGGAATTTTATACCAGGAAGGAAATCTCGCCAAAGAATAAGTATGACTATTTTGATAAAATTCGGTAATTTTGTGTGAAAAATTACAAAAATTTTTATACTATGGCGAATATATTTACTCCTGAAGGAAGTCCCATAAGTTTCTTCTGTACCATGCTATGAATGAGTCTGACTGGATATGCTTATAGAAACATGCAGGCTTATCTCTTAGCCGTTTATAGTATCGGTTTCAGTCGTTCCAAAGCTCTTTCAAAGTACGTTTCGTAGGTGACAAAGTCTCTTTTAACATTTTTGCTGCCCCGTTCAATATGGAGAACCAAGGGAAGCATTTACGGCATGTTATGCTTCATTGCTTTAAAAAAAGGAAATAGTGCAAAGGACACTGTAGACGAGATGTGCACCGTTTACGGGAGTGGTAATACGACCATTAGGACGGTCCGCAATTGCTTTAAGAAATTTAGAGCCGGCAATTTTGATTTGCAAGATGAAGACCGCAGTGGCCGCCCAGTAACGACGTATGCGGATCTTATCAAGACTGTGCTCGCTGAAAATCCGCGATATAGTGTGCGCGAGATAGTGGATGACACTAACATTCCCTAGACAACGGTGCAGAGGCATTTGATCAAGATGGGATATGCAAATCGGTATGAAAAGGAAAGAAGCTTATGGGACAACCTAATATATCCAAGATGAGTGGTTGATCTTTAAATTGATACCAATTATATTGATGTATGTACTCGGATATGGAGGTTATATGTAAATATTTAAAGGTGTCTATGTGTTATGATATTGTTTAGTATTACTATTACCCCAGTGGAGGGTGGAAATGTCGCGCTGCTCGCTTTGAAATTATACATGAAGTTCCGAGTATGGTCAAGGACGAAGCCTATAATTTTCGGTGATGTTGAAATGATATTTAGGGGGTGCAATGAAACGAAAACTTTATTTTTTCAGATTTTCTAGACGCTCAAGAGGTCATTATAATATGCAGAACATCACATATTTTACACGGTCATATTTCCGACCAAATACTTAGAACGGCTGTTTAGATGATAATCGGTCAATATTCTTACGGTCAATTCAACCAAAACCTGAAGTGACCTATTTTATTTTTTTATTCACTTCGGGAAAACAGGATTTGGAAAATATGCCAGGGTTAGAAATTAGAGGGTGCAAATATCGCGAAATATTGCTCAGGCTCAGAATATAGAACCGCAGAATGTTAGATTTTCGTGCTAGTTGTTTAGGGTATCATATGGTGGGCCTGTCTGACTATACTACTCCTCCCACAGGATTTGACATACAAAGATAATGAGGTCACTGGCTATTTTGGTATAGTAAAGACTGGATTTAGTTTTGGATTTTTATTTTTCGGTTTTTAGTTCCCAGTCCATTTTAAGAAACATGTATTTGAAAAAAATGGAGTCGGATTCTATTTAAGAAGAACGAAACTTATTTTTAGCGTCGAACCTAACAAGTACTATATCAGTTATACAGAAGTACTACGGATTGAAATATTTAAAAAATGTGTCGATATTCTTGTCAGGGTTGGAGACCTTCTGTATAAAAGACGGACAAGTAGTCAGGTGACCTCCTTAGAACCTCATATACCAATTATTATGAAAATATACATATCTACAGGAAAAATAATTTTTGTTCTTACGTTTGTCAAAATTTCGTATGTTTTTGTGGTGCAGGATATTACGATGATCGGCTTTGCCGACATTATGTTCTCATGTTCTTTGCTTTAATTTTTATGCTAATAAAAAGAGATATCTAAAATTTGACCTGAATTTGTGTCAGCATTCCATTTGTATGTATGTATATATTTGTGGGTGTGGTTGTTGTTGTTGTGTATATGTCATCTTCATTTTGCAACGTGACTAAAATTATTATTCAGTCAAATGATCCCTTTCGCCAATGTTGGCCTCATTACAATGATCTTCTTGGTTTCTAGTTGTTGTTTGTGTAGTTAAATCGTGATGTTGTTGATTTCCTCGATATGCATCACAGCTACCACCACATAAAGCCTCCACCTCATGATCACGATCATTATCTGCATCATCGTCGTCGTCATCATCTTCGTCGCCTACCCTATTGCCGGTATCATTTACCAATGTCACCTTGGGTTGAAAATTCGTATAACACATGTGCTGAGGTGAGATGCCATTGGTGCTGTGTTGCTGATTGATTTGTTGTTGGTGTAGTTGTTGTTGTTGTTGCATAGGCAGTGTTTGTGTTGTAGGAATCATTTTGCTAGGACTGATTGTGATATTTTTCTGAGAATCTCCATCACCCGCCATCATCATCGCATGATCACCGTTGTGATGACCATTTCCTGGTGGCATTTGTGTATTCACCACACTAACCGTGGGTGGAACATTCAGCATTGTTCGGATATTGGATCGGTGCCGCAGGCCTTGTTGTAAATGTTGTTGATGCTGTTGTTCGATATTGTCTTTGTGTTCCAGCGGATGTTGTTGCGCGGTATGATGATGAAGGTGGTCCTTTTGTTCTGTTTGAGATGATGGGAGAAAATAAAAGAGATATTAGAGAGTTAGAAAAAAATAAATTAATAAATTAAATAATTAAAGAGAAAAATTTAAATTTTGTGGATAGAAGAGGGGAATTGTGACTAGAAAAGTAATAAAAAATAGAATTTATTCCAAGAAAAATATAGACCTTGACAGGGAGTCCTTGAAAATTTATTAGAATACAGAAGGACATAGATATGTGGGTTGGTATTCGCATATGTTTAAAATTTGTAAAGAAAGAGGTTGGTGGAAATATTCGGGGGAGAAGGAAAAGTGCATCTTATTCGGAAGGCAAAGGGAAGTCAAAAATTATAGAATGGAAATAAAAATTGTCAAAATAATATTTGAAATAAAAAAAATCCTATAATCCTATGTTCATCGATCCATCTAGAAATAAGGTCATATATTTCTTCTAACTCACTTCTTGACCCTATTCAGGACCCTATTAAATTTTCTTTTAAATTAAATTTGTTAATGAAATTTGATAACCCTATTTTTGTGACCCTCGCCAGGAGCAGGTTGAAATCCTACTCCTAGTCCAAAAAAAAAAAAATAACCTGCAAATCCCATTAAAATACAACAACAACGAGCAAATTATTGCAACACTAATCGTTTACTACTTACCCAATGATGCAAGCAATTTCGGTTGCAATGGCATCAGATAATCATTGCCTGTGGTAGCAGCTCTTGGCTGTAGGCTCTGCATTGCCGGTACACTTAAAAAGTCCGCTGGGGAGAAATTAAAAAGCGATTAGGCCAAAACACATATACGCACAAACACACACAGACACACTCTCTCTCTCTTTCGAAATTAAGTGAAAGTGTATTTGGTTGGTTAAGTGGACAACAAAATAACTGGATTATTCAAAACGGTATTAAAAGTCCATTTAAGAGTCATTTTGGGGATATCCGAACATTTGCGTATTTCTCTCTGTTTACATAAATAGTTTTCGGGTTTTCACATTCAAATGTATGTATGTTAGTTATGTTGTGAGTTAGTACGTATGTTGCTGTTGTTCTTAGTTGTTGTTTTTTCCTTCATTTTTTTTTGTACATCATACTCTAGTTATGAGGGTGTTTGGTTAGCAACAAAACGCATCCAAGCAAAACAATTATGGAAATATATTTTTTTTTTAATGTAATGGACTTGTTGAATATATGTATATATAGTACACTTACATTTACATATGTATGTTTTTTTGCATATATACACAAACATGTGTATGTAGGAATGTTTTTGTTTTTGCGGGCGTATATGTACATTACATGGAAATAAAAAGGGTTTTTTGTTAACTTTATATGTTGGTGAAAGGGCAAATGGATGCAGTGCATCAATGTGGCTGAAGCGCAGCTAAATGTACAATTTAACTAAATTAAATTTCAATATTCAATATTTAACTTAAAATCCCATACAAGGACATATACAAATATGATTCAAGCCAAGGCATAAAAAATAACACCCAGGACACAAAGAACCCGGAAATTGCCGACGTGAGAAAATTTTCCATAGAAGATATATCACTGACGTGAGAAAATTTTTTTTATCAGTGATATATATTTGTATATAGAAAAATTATCATGAGTGATATATTTGATGATAATTTATATATTACTGATGATAATTGGTTGATAATTTATATATTTTTTTCTATAGAAAAATATGTCACTGATGATAATTTTTCTATTGATATATTTTTCTATAAAGAAAAATTATCATCAGTGATATATTATTCTATATAGAAAAATTATTATTAGTGATATATTTTTCTATTATCATCAGTGATATTTTTTATAGAAAAATTATCATCAGTGATATTTTTCTATATAACAATTATATATTTTTCCATATAGAAAAATTGTCTTCAGTGATATTTTTCCATATAGAAAAATTATCATCAGTGATATTTTTCTATAGAAAAATTGTCATCAGTGATATTTTTCTATAGAAAAATTGTCATCAGTGATATTTTTCTATAGAAAAATTGTCATCAGTGATATTTTTCTATAGAAAAATTATCATCAGTGATATTTTTCTTAGAAAAAAATTTCATTTGTGATATTTTTATCAATAATTATCTTCTGTGATATTTTTCTATAGAAAAAGTATCAGTGATATATTTTCTATACAGAAAAATTATCATAAATGATACATTTTTCTATAGAAAAATTATCATCAGTGATACATTTTTCTAAAAAAAAATATCATATATATATTTTTATACCCTCCACCATAGAGGGTATATTAATTTTATCATTCCGTTTGTAACACATCGAAATATTCATTTCCGTTTGTAACACATCGAAATATTCATAAAGTATTTATATTTTTGATCAGGGTAAAATTCTAAGACGATCTAGTCATGTCCGTCTGTCCGTCCGTCTGTGGCAATCACGCTATCTTCTGAAGAAAATGAGATAGGGTGCTGGAATTTTGCATAAAATTGTCTTTTGTCTGCAGGCAGGACAAGTTCGAAGATGGGATATATCGGTTCACGTTTAGGCATAGCTCCCATATAAGGGTACCAAACAATTTTCGTTATTTTGAGGTTCTTAAGCGTGTTTTCCAACCGAAATCGCTGAAATTTGGTACTTTGAGTTCTTATTGGGTAGCAAATCTCCCTACTAAAAATTAAAAATATAGGTCAATTTATTCTGGTACCCCCCATATAACGGTACCCCTAAATTTTCGGTATTTTGCGGTTCTTGAACGCATTTTTCAACCGAATTCGCTGAAATTTGCTACATTGGGTTCTTATTGGGTACTAAATGTCTCCACAAAAAAATATTAATATAAGTCCACTTTTTCTGGTAGTCCCCATATAACGGTACCTCCTAATTTTCAGTATTTTTGTGGTTTTGATCGTATTTTTTCGCCGAATTAGCTGTAATTTAGTATTTTGAGTTCTTAATAGGTACCAAAACTCCTCACAAAAAACTATGAATATAGGTCCATTTTTTGGGTTAGCCCCAATTTTCGCTATTTTGGGGTTCTTGAGCGCGTTTTTTAACCGAATTTTCTGCAATTTGGTATTTTGTAGTCGTATATGGTAACTAATCTCCCTACCAAAAATTATTAATATTCTCCCCGTTTTTGGGTAGTCCCCATATAACCCCCTTTTTATATTAAAATAGTTATCTAATTTGTTCCGCGTTTTGAATTTGGTTCTAAGACTCTGTTGTAATCATTTCTCCTGCGGAGGATAGCGAGATATACAATTATAACGTAAGGTTCGATAATGAACTATAGCCGCATTTAGACCTAGCCCCTGTATGGAGGTTCCAGAAGGAGTGGACCGATATTCCCCATCTTGGAATTAGAACTAAGTTTGGATGAAATAATAAGATGTGCAAAGTTTGGATGAAATCGAAATTTTCTGAAACGGATTTGGTCCAAAGAACAAATATTTCGATGAGGCACATTTTCACCGTGTTAAGTTGTATACACCCTCATTAGCCATAAGGCTGAGGGTATAATTACCCATTAAAAAGTTCTGAAATTTGTATTATGGTTTACATAATCCCTTTTTAGAAATGTCGGTATAGGTCCACTTTTTGGTATGTTCCCCTTATTTTCATTTCTAGTACCTATCAGTATATCTATGGTGGAGGGTATCCAAAGTTCGGCCCGGCCGAACTTAACGCTTTTCTACTTGTTTCTATTAAAAATAGCGGTGTAAGTGTTTTCATATGGTCATTTAAGCCTCCCTGAGGGCTTTACTATTCACTCAAATTGTCTTTAAAGTAATTATATGTATGTACGCATATTTAAAATGATATATCTATATATGTAAATGTTTACGTTTTTTTTACATATGTATATTATATATTTGAATGTTTTGTTTGTTTGATTTTTTTAGTGTTCTACTTACAGCTAATAACTGAGGGACCCGTTCTCAAAGGCATCGGTGATGTTTGTATCGATGTTTCAGCGGATCTAGTGCTATGCTTTACAATGCCAGCTAGAGGATTCTGTGGTCGTTCTATAATACTAACACCATTAACATTTACACCATTCATGCTCTCTGTATGTGTTTCTAACATTGAAATTCCAAAATAAAAAATATCCAAAAGAAATAAAAAACCCATATGAAAACAAGAAATAAAATAAATGGAATAGAAAATAAGAAGAAGAAAAAAGGAGAAAAATATTACGAAAAATGGAAAACAATAAATCAACACATCACATCGATTACAATTCATCAAAACAACCAACCAAACAAGAAAAAAGGAATGAAAACAAAAACAAGAAAAACACAACAACATAAGGCAACCCAATCAATAATAATAAAAGAAACAACAACTCATATCGCATAAAAGTTTTTTTTCGGGGAAAATAAAGGGGTGGGAAACGGAAAACGGAAATGTTGCAAATGAAAAATTATATTGAGCCAATAAAGCTGTCATTATTTAGCTTTTAAAAGTTCTCTACTACAATCATGATAATACACTTAGGAATTGTATACCATGTGGAAAGTGTTATTGGATAGTTGAGTTAAGTTGAGTGGAGTAGAGTGATAGGAATGAATAGTTGTTGTTCATGGTTGATGGTTGGGAGGGGGAAATCTAAAACAATATGTCATTACCGATTTTCGCTGTGGCAAAGGCTTCCTTCAGCATTGGATTGTGATGCGGATGTGGATGTCCAGTGGCCACAACTCCCGGTGCCAGCGAGGTTTGTTTATAGGCATGTGTACGACCTCTGGTTGGAGGAACTGGTTCACGTTTGCGACGCGGTTGTTCTACGGGAAGAACACGACGTCGTTGTTTGGGTAGTTTTGAGCGAGCCTGGAAAAGAGGGGCGGAAACGAAGAAAAAGACCAACAGATTTGTAAACTTTTAAAATACAGAAAAGTATTACTTATGAGAAGACTATTCTAATTTTTCTATAGAAAAAAGATTTTCAATGGAATATTAAACTTTTCTGAACAAAAAAAAATAGTGATACTTTTTCTTTAGAAAAATTATCATCAGCGATATGATGATGATACTTTTTCGGTAGATTCGGCTATTTTTCTATAGAAAAATATCACTGATGATAATTTTTCTATAGAAATATATCACTGATGATAATTTTTCTATATAGAAAAACATCACTGTCTTCAATTTTTTCTAAATAGAAAAATATCACTGTCGTCAAATTTGCTATATAGGAAAAATATCACTGATGATAGTTTTTTCTATAGAAAAATATATCACTGATGATAATTTTTCTATGTAGAAAAAATATCACTGATGATAATTTTTCTATGGAGAAAAATATCACTGATGATAAATTTTCTATATCGAAAAATATCACTGATGTGAAATTTTTCTATATCGAAAAATATCACTGACGTGAAATTTTTCTATATCGAAAAATATCACTGACGCAAATTTTTCTATATCGAAAATATCACTGACGCAATTTTTTCTATATCGAAAAATATCACTGACGTGAAATTTTTCTATGTCGTAAATATCACTGACGTGAAATTTTTCTATGTCGTAAATATCACTGACGTGAAATTTTTCTATATCGAAAAATATCACTGACGTGAAATTTTTCTATATCGAAAAATATCGCTGACGTGAAATTTTTCTATATCGAAAAATATCACTGACGTGAAATTTTTCTATATCGAAAAATATCACTGACGTGAAATTTTTCTATATCGAAAAATATCGCTGACGTGAAATTTTTCTATATCGAAAAATATCGCTGACGTGAAATTTTTCTATATCGAAAAATATCGCTGACGTGAAATTTTTCTATATCGAAAAATATCACTGACGTCAAATTTTTCTATATCGAAAAATATCACTGACGCAAATTTTTCTATATCGAAAAATATCACTGACGCAAATTTTTCTTTATCGAAAAATATCACTGAAGCAACTTTTTCTTTATAAGTATCACTGACTACATATTTAATTCCGAACATATGTTTCCTTATAAAAATATAACTACTTATAATGTTCTTGCTAACCTTTTTCATAATCCCTTTATCACACTTTTTCCAACACTTTCACCACTCACCGTAGTTGTTGTTGTTGTTTGTGTTGCCCACAAAATTAATTAATTTGTAATTTGTCCAATCTTACCTGGGTATGTGAATAAAACATGGAAAAGTTGCTAACGATTACAGGTACGGGTAGAGCTATTGTCAACACACCAGCCAAAGCACATAGGGCACCCACAAACATGCCGGGATAAGTTTTAGGTGCCACATCACCATAGCCCACGGTAGTCATTGTTACAATGGCCCACCACAAACCTAAAGGGATACTTTTAAATTGATTTTCCGGATTATCCTGCAAAAAATGTAAACAAGCAAACAGACAAACAAACGAAACCAAAAAGAGGAAAATAAGAAAACACACACAAACAAACAGACGGACACACACACACAAACAGAAAACAAATATTAACTTTAATACCAAAATTCAACATCGTCGTCTCTCTAATCCTTCGAAGGATATGTTCACTATAACATTACCTGAAGCTTTTCCGCATAATACGCCAGGCTGGCAAAGAACACAATACCCAAAACCAAGAAGAACACCAACAGCGTCAACTCTTTGGCCGAGGCCTTAAATGTGTGTATTAGGATCCGTAAGCCGGGCGAATGACGGGTCAATTTAAACAGACGCATAATCCGTACAATTGAGAAGGCCTCCCACAGACCGGTGTACTCGCCCATCCGTTGCATGACATCTGTGTAGAAACTTAAGGTGGCCACAAAGTCAATAATGTTGACGGGAGATTTAACAAACTGCCACAAATTTGGCGAAACCTGTCGAAAAGAAAAAACACATACACACCCACACACAAACATTAAATAAACACTCAGTAGAGCTCCTCCAAGTACTTACAATGAAACGTATGATGACCTCAAAGAAGAACCACACATTACACACCAATTCCACATAGAAAAATGCCTCATGTGGCTGGCCAAACGATTGATGCCAACCGTGTATGTGGGTATCATCAACACCATTATCATTGCCATGGCCAACGCCGACTCCACCACCGCCGCCGTCAGCGCCACCACCACCTCTATTATCACTAACACCGTCTACATCTGCAGATTGACGACGCGTTCTTTCACCAGCACGTCGTCCTGTCTTTTCCAGGCTAAAGGTGGCTATGGGTGTCACTAGACCCGAACTAAAATTACCATTACCACCACTGTGGGTGCTGGTATAGTTGATGACCTTGAATGTGGGCTGTAGTAATGTGTGGCGTTGGCTATTATGGGAGGCTGTGGCGGCGGTGGATGCATCCATTGTGGGCGGCGGCATATTACTTGTATGCTGAGGTATGGTCGGTATGCTAGTTGATATTTGTTGTTGTTGCTGTTGGCTATTGGTGGGTGTAAAGTCTACGCGAAAACCCGGATGTGTTTTCAGGCAGAAAGATATCACAGAAACGAATATGAAAAATACAGACATACTGGCAACCACCTGCAAGCAATCCGAATGAAACGAAGGCAACAAAATTTGAAAATTATTTTTTGAGTGTCAATACAAGGCAAAAGTAATGTAATAAAACTTTTTAATAATAAATATTTCGAATAGGAAGTAGTAATGACTGAAATTTCTTCCCCAAAAAAATCAGGCAAAAAATGAAAAAGTTTTGATTGAGTTTTTAAACAATAAATCGTATTTAAGATAGATGAGCAGTAATTTTGAGTGGGGTTTATGGGAGGGGGATAAGTATTACTGATGTTGATAAGTTTGGGGATATTTTTGTATAATTTGATAAGTTTTTTTATGAGGCTATTTGTCCAGGAAGTTTTGTGGATTTTAATGATTTTAGGAGAAGTTTTAAAAATCAAAACAGAAAATAAAAATAAAACAAAAAATTATAACAATTATCAAATGATCTAAACTTTTCTATAGAAAAATATAATTTCTGAGAATTGTTCTAAAAATACTATCACTGAAGAAAATAATATCACTGAAGTGAGAAAATTTTCTATAGAAAATACTATCACTGAGGTGACAAAATTGAAAATTTTCGATGGAAAAACTATCACAGAATTAAAAAATTTCGATTTCACTGACGTGAGAAAATTTTCTATAGGAAAACTATCACTGATGTGAAAATCTTCTATAGGAAAAATATCACTGGCGTGAAAATTTACTAGAGGAAAACTATCACTGACGTGAGACAATTTTCTATAGGAAAACTATCACTGCCGTGAGAAAATTGTCTATAGGAAAACTATCACTGAGGTGAGAAAATTTTCTATAGGAAAACTATCACTGGCGTGAGAAAATTTTCTATAGGAAAACTATAACTGACGTGAGAAAATTTTCTATAGGAAAACTATCACTGACGTGAAAATTTTCAATAGGAAAACTATCACTGACTTGAAAATTTTCTTTAGGAAAACTATCACTGATGTGAAATTTTCTTTAGGAAAACTATCACTGATGTGAAATTTTCCTATAGGAAAACTATCACAGATAATAATTTTTCTATATAGAAAAGTATCACCGATGATAATTTTTCTATATAGAAAAATGTCAATATCGCTATTTTTCTATATAGGTAAAATATCACTGTCGATAATTTTTCTATATAGGAAAAATATCACTGACGCAATTTTTTTGTTTTTATATATATTAGAAATATTACTGTCGTTCATTTTTCTATATAAGAAAAATATCACTGTCGCCAATTTTCCTACATGGAAAAATATAACTTTTGCTAATTTTTCTATATAGAAAAAATATCACTGTCATCAAGATTTCTATATAGAAAATTAACACTGTCGTTATTTTTTTACATTTTAAAATTTTAACATACCTTTGCTCCCGTCGAACTTGATGGTTCATCAAATAAAGCCCATATTTTCGGTTTTATACGCTGCCAGCAATTTAAGCGACCCTTATTTATGGAATCCTCGAAACCAAACAAACGGGCCACTTGCTCTTCTGATGGTTTTTCATTATCAATATCTAATTTATCCAATATGGCTAAAGTATTCTGAAAAATAGAATAAATCAAATCACAATACCAAAAATAATTAACGTCCTCTTCCTGCAATTATTTCTAAATACCAACCTGAGTATCTCTGTGTATACTATAGGTGGACCAGCAACAGGGCTCAACTTGATTAGAATCTAAACCCCAAAACTCTAACTCTTCCTCAAACAAAGGACCACAAACATCGGTAGGATAGTGCAGTTTACCAGTTCTGAAAAAAGGTGATAGACGAATTAAAATATTGATCATTTGCGTCTATAGGTCGTTCCCTCTCACCTGTAATAATTTAAAATTTGAGTAAAAACTCCCGGATGCCGATCAAAGAAATATTCATTCAGCACTGGATCGTAATTGGCTAAGGCCTCAGTTAAACGTGATAATCGAGTGGCGGGTATTTTCTTTAGCGTTGCTTTATACGTCTCATACCTAGAGAGAAGGGGAGAGAGAAGAAAACACACATGAAATATAAAATTACGTACAATCTGCATATTTTATTTGCCATTAGTTATAACAAAAAACACAATATTCTGCTAATTCAGCAGAATCCACACACACACACACACATAAAAAATGGAAACTTCTATGCCTGTGTGTGTGAAAATCGACAAAGTTTCAAACATTCAACCATTAAAGCATTCCTCCATATGTTCCTTGTTTCTAAGGTATGTTGTTCCACGCTCTGTGTGTGCTTGGTTATAACTTTCTATTACGGATACGGATATGATAAGGGCAATGTTCAGTCGTCGGTGGGGGCCAATGCAGGGCAAACAAATAGAATACAAACGGCTTGGAAAATGGGAAAAACATCTTTCCGTTGTTTACATAGACATTTTCATTATTTATGAGCGGAAACTTTGGGTCACTATCACGAATGGCAAAAAAGATACGTTGATGCTGCTGTTGATGACGATGGTGGTGATGACGACGAAGATAGCGTATGCACACACAGATGGTTGAACATCAGGGATGGAAGCACTTTAAACAATTCAGGAAAGTATTTTATGGATATAAATTATTTCAAAGAAAAATTTCTGATAAATATTTTCTGTAGGCAGAAGGAAAATATCTTAATGAGCGAGACCTTTTTCATAACTGTAAAAAATTTTAATGATGGATTCCATTTAGAGATCTATTTTTTTAATATTGTGATATTTTTTTATATATAAAAAATATCACTGAAAAATTATCATCAATTAATAGCATCTATATAAAAAAAATGATCATCAGTTATATTTTTTTTCTATATAAAAATTATCATCGGTGATATTTTGCTATACAAAAATCATCATAAGAGGAAAAATGTAAAATTTTTTTCTATAGAAAAATTATCGCCAGTATCATTGATATTTTTCTATACAAAACCTATCACAAGTGATACAATTTTTTCTATGGAAAAACTATCATCAATGTTATTTTCTATAGAAAAACTACCATATGCAATATTTTGCTATAGGAAAAATATAAAATTTTTCTAGGATGATTTTTTCTACATAGAAAAATATATCATCAGTATATCACTGATAATAATTTTTCTATATAGAAAAATATATCATCTACATAGAAAAATATATCACAGATATTTTTTCTATATAGAAAAATTATCATCAGTGATATTTTTAATTTTTCTATATAGAAAAATATCACTGATGACAATTTTTCTATAGAAAAATATCACTGATGACAATTTTTCTATAGAAAAATATCACTGATGATAATTTTTCTACATAGAAAAATATATCACTGATAATAATTTTTCTACATAGAAAAATATATCACTGATAATAATTTTTCTATAGAAAAATATCACTGATGACAATTTTTCTATAGAAAAATATCACTGATGACAATTTTTCTATAGAAAAATATCACTGATGATAATTTTTCTATAGAAAAATATCACTGATGATAATTTTTCTATAGAAAAATATATCACAGATTTTTTTCTCTATATAGAAAAATATCACTGATGATAATTTTTCTATATAGAAAAATATCACTGATGATAATTTTTATATAGAAAAATATCACTGATGATAATTTTTCTATATAGAAAATATCACTGATGACAATTTTTCTATATAGAAAAATATCATCTGATGATAATTTTTCTATATAGAAAAATATCACTGATGATAATTTTTCTATATAGAAAAGTATCACTGATGATAATTTTTCTATATAGAAAAGTATCACTGATGATAATTTTTCTATATATCAATGAAAAATATATCACTGATGACAACTTTTCTATAGAAAAATATCACTGTTGACAATTTTTCTATATATAATTATATTTTAATAGTTTCCTAAATCTTTAACTGTCCATCCCTGATCTGCATACATCCTAGCCTTCATACACACACACACATTGCTTTTATGTGGTGGTCACACAAAAGACATAAAAAGAGACACACACAATAAAAATATGGTACATCCCATTCCCTCCAATATACACTGTAAACAAAATTAAGTTTATTTAAATAATTTTCGCACGTTCACAATTTTTGGCGAAGTGAAGACACATGTGTGCTTTGCTGAAGTGTTTGCAGCTGGACCGAACAGGCAAACAGGCGGACGGACGGAACAGCTTCCTAATTGGAATAATATTTGCTATAAATAAAAAATGACTTTGAATGCTTTCAAGGATCTCGATGTGAATGAGAATGTTGTGTCAGAAACATCTATAAATAAAGATAACTCTTAAGGCAAACATAAAGACAAGAGAACAGCAACAACAACAAAAGAAAGAAAAATGATGGAATGTGAACATAGAAATACTTGTCGTTGTTTTTGTTGTTCTTCTTGTAGTTGCTGTTGCTGGCGGCACCATAATGCAAATGTTTAAATAAAATTTATGAATTCTTAAATTAAATTATGACCAGTCCATTGCAGAAAAAAAGCTAAAAAGCAAAAGAAAAACAAAAACCAAATAACTACTAAGAGGATGAATGCTAAATAAAACGCCATAAGCAAATTCTCGTATAAATAAATTTGTTCTATAGAAAATTTGTGCTTGGAAGAGAAGAGAAATATGAAATTGAATCGTAAAATATGTAAATAAAAAAGTTTTTGATTTTGTTTTACCGAAAATTCTCCAAAACTGTATAAATTTTTAATTTATTTATTTTTATGATATCAAAACCAACAGCAACAACAAATGTGAATGTTATTAAAAATTTGGCCAACATGATTGTGCACACAAGCTGAACAACGACAGCACAACAAAATGCTTTAAGGGTTATTTAAATAATGCTTTGAATTTGAAATATGTTTATTATAATTTGTTTATGGCTTCAGGGGGGAGAATATTTGACCGTTTCGCTTAATGATGCATAACATAATAACACACACAGACACAAATGCACACCCACACTTTGGTTTTTATTTCGATACCTATTGAATTAAATAGAAAACCGGATGGTATAGAAAACCATTGTTATGAATAGGACAGACCACACAATGGCATATCCTGTGGCACACTATAAAAAAAACAAAATCAGTTCAAAAGAGAAAAAGGGATAAGTCACTTTTTTGGTCGTTATGGTGTTGTTATGACGGGCTGTCAACATATTTTTAAATATAACCTAAGGACCTTTCAAGTCTGATAACGGAATCTCCAGGCTCGCTTAAAAAATTGTAGTAATTCCAGGAAGGGATAGCCCTCGAAAAAATATTCTTTAATAAATCCACACCTTGTATAGACCTCGAAAAAATATTCTTTAATAAATCCACGCCTTGTATAGACCTCGAAAAAATATTCTTTAATAAATCCACGCCTTGTATAGACCTCGAAAAAATATTCTTTAATAAATCCACGCCTTGTATAGACCTCGAAAAAATATTCTTTAAAAAATCCACGCCTTGTATAGACCTCGAAAAAATATTCTTTAAAAAATCCACGCCTTGTATAGACCTCGAAAAAATATTCTTTAATAAATCCACACCTTGTATAGACCTCGAAAAAATATTCTTTAATAAATCCACGCCTTGTAAAGACCTCGAAAAAATATTCTTTAATAAATCCACGCCTTGTAAAGACCTCGATAGAATATTCTTTAATAAATCCACGCCTTGTAAAGACCTCGAAAAAATATTCTTTAATAAATCCACGCCTTGTATAGACCTCGAAAAAATATTCTTTAATAAATCCACGCCTTGTAAAGACCTCGAAAAAATATTCTTTAATAAATCCACGCCTTGTAAAGACCTCGAAAAAATATTCTTTAATAAATCCACGCCTTGTATAGACCTCGAAAAAATATTCTTTAATAAATCCACGCCTTGTAAAGACCTCGAAAAAATATTCTTTAATAAATCCACGCCTTGTAAAGACCTCGAAAAAATATTCTTTAATAAATCCACGCCTAATAAATCCATCTATCCGAGTTCCCTGAGAATTTTGTCCAATGTAAGACTATTCCGAATATTGTCTGAAAAATCTCCTGAAATCTCGTTAAGAGTTCTGTTCAAATTCAATTTGCCTTTTTTGGTTGATTTTGATTTTTAATTTTTCTGTGGCCAATTCTTTTTCTCTGGTAAATTTTATTCTCCAGAGCTATACAATAATTATTTTATTTCATTAACCCCACAACCTAAAAATGTTAACTTATTTAATTGAAATTTGTCACGTAAAATCAACCCCTACTAAATAAAAAAAAAGATTTTTAAAATCTATGCCCTTTTCCATTTTCTTGGAAAATCATAGTAAGATTTTCCTTCAACGACGATATATTCCCTTTTATTATTTAAACACATACAAATTGTTTTTTAAACTTTTTCAACTTTCATAATTGGACGACATGGCTGCCATGAAATGGACATGTCAATTGTTTTCGGTGACAATTTTAATCGCAACAGGGATTCACCGAAATGGAAAACTGTCTCTCTCTATGTTTTTATTTTTTAAAAAAGTTTAAGTGTTTTATTAAATGTCAATGTCATTAGAAATTTATAAGTAAACAAATAAATGAAAAACAAACAAATTACAAGAAATTTATTTAGATATTGATTTTTTAACAAAGGTTCGACAAATTTGTGATTAGTGAAATTGAAACAAAATTTAGAATAATTAAATGTTTTCAATTTCAATATACTAAACTAATTATACTTCAAGGAAAATCATCATGGAAACATATTTTTAAGGAGTGGAATTTTGAAAAAATATTTTTAAAGAATATTTTTTCAAGGCCTGCATAGGGTGTGTATTTTTTAAATATATTTTCAAGGCCTGCATAAGGCGTGGATTTTTTTAAAGATTACTTTTTCAAGGTCTACATAAGGTGTTCACGTAGCGAACATGGTATAATAAAGATAGTGAAAGAAAGTGTATAATAAGATGTGAATATATTTTCGTATACAGTCCACTTGAGATAAGAGTTTATTTTGGTTGAATGTTTGTACACAAGAATAAGATCGGATTTTTATAT